AAAAAGAAATAGAAAGAAAAAAAAAAAAAAACAACCCAAAAAGACACGTCATTTTTCAAATCACAATCATAATATGCAAGAGCCTAAACATCCAGCCCACCCTGCACCCCCCCCCCACACACACACACACCTGTGAACACACCACAGTGTAGTCCTCAATGAACACAATCAAATTACTCGAATATCAAGACATGAAAGAAAACAATTAAAACAAGAAATCAGCCATTGGCTTTGATGATCCTGTGTGGGAGGGAGAGGGAGAGACAGAGAGACAGGTGAGAGAGGAGACAAGTTCCTTTAGCATCCGCTTGTTCTGCATCTACTTAAGCCAGACAAGAACTTATGTCAGGATCCCAATATTTCCAAATTTTAAGGAATGTGACACACAAGCTTCCACTCTGCCCTGCCTGACCCGCCCTCAAACAGACACCCAGTCACGCTGCTGCCTCCCCCCACGTTACTGTGAGCTTCCTGCACTCTCCTAGTCCAGCTTTCCAGTTATGTCAGGATAAAGTGACACCAAATTGTACACTCAATTCACCTCCATGTGCTCTGGCCACCTGTACGAGCTGTTGGACTGAACCAAAAAACAGGGACAGCTGTTGCATTTTTTTTTTTTTTTGTGGTTTCTACAAATTAGCGATGTCTCTATCCATCACTCTGTATTGGGAAAAATTCCAGGATCAAACAAAACCAACTATGGCCTGTTCGATTCCATACTTAATCCCAAATGTTCAACAGGGACACAATTGCCTCATCAACACAGCCTGATGGAAATGGAAAGAAGGTATCGTCAGATACTCTTAAGTTTCAGTATTGGATGTGAAAAAGTTGTATTGAGCCATCTCTACCACAAATCCAGCTGCTGTTGTACCTTACAAAAAAAGAGAAAACAGGAGCAATTGGAAATGGTGTTTAGGTCCAGAGTGAAGGAGATTTTCAGGGATTTTAATGGTGTAGTGACATGGAAGGCTGATGGAAAAGTCAGGACTTCATATCCGGTCGGCGAATCTAGGACCAGTCAATCCACGGACTTCTTGAACCCACCAAACATCATGCACTACACCTCCAAATGCCAACTGAACCACAGAGAACCCAGAGAACATAAAGCACTGGGTGTTTATTCTACTACAAAATGTTTGTACACACAAGTTATTTTTAAAACGAGATAAAAAGCTGGATGACAGATGTCCTTAGATTACATTATACTACAGCGACAAGTGGGACGCACGGAGTCGACCAGACTGTACCTGTCACAGACCTTCGGTGATGTAGCAGTTAGGTTTCTGTTAAAACAAAATCACTAGATATAATAATGGAATATGTAAAACCTAAAACCTAAAGGAAAACAAAGAAGGCAAAGTAGTAGCAGCATTTTAAGACAGAATATTTGACATCAGGAGTGCGATGGTTGAAAAAAAAATTTGGAAAAAAAAAAAAGGGGCAAAGAAAGGGCAGTAAATATATGCGCACAAAAAAAAATTCTCAACTGCTGTGTACGCACACTGAAACTACAGCATCAGAATAATATCAAAAATTTGGAATTTTGGTGATGGTGATAAAAAAAAAAAAAACCTGTACTACAGATTATACACAGGGACAAACAATTATCCCTGTGTATAAAACTGCTTTGATATAACTTCACAGTATAGCAATGCTTATAGCTTTTCGGGTAAAGTATGTCTAAATGTGGTCAAAAACTGTGGTTCAGAGACTTTGAACAGAGGACAAGCCTGAAAACAATGGTCCGACTGCAGCATTAACTTTACTGTCCCTACCACAGCCCTGAAACTTGAACAGAATTTAAACGAAGACTAATATAGAAGTCAATCTATGAAGTTTAAATACACATAAAAAATGTATTTGTTAAAGGTACTGTTTGATCCAGGAGGGGGCGCTCTAAGAAGAAGACCTGTGATTTTTTTAATAAGAAATCAATATGAAGCACTCAAAGGAAATATGCAAGTGCGTACAAGAATAAGGCGTGATTAAACCATCAATCACTAAAGTTGCTTATCAATGTGATGTCCTTACTGATTCCCAACAAGGACAAACAGAAGAGACATTAGATGGAGCACTGAAGCTAACAGCTCGGCAAAAATGGAAGCTTGTCCAACATGAAACCATAAAATCTACCAGAGGAAAGACCACGCAGTGATATCACAATCCCTGAAAACATCCACATTCTAACTCACCTCCACCACATCTTTGGAGTCTCAAATCACACTGACCACTACACACAGACAACCGCTGCCTTAACATGTGTCCACCAGCATCTGCCCTTTGACCGCAGTGTGTAATGTCAACCTGGTTGGTTACCGTGTTATATGTGATGCACCTGTGTCACATTTCTTTCTTGTACGTGTGGAGACTGAAGAAAAAAATATTGACATGAAATTTTCTGCTAAAGTATCTCTGCGTGAAGACCTGCATTTTGTGTGATATTAGGACCTGCGTGTTTTGTCACGACTTCATGATCTAGTGTCTTAGAAATTGTTTCTAGTACTGAAATGTTCTGATGATGCAAACCTGTAGCGACCAAGCATTTAAGGCCCCATGCTTCAAATATCCAGTTAGGTCTCGACGTCCCCTGTTGCACCTGAAGGTTTCGGTCAATTATGGTATTAGATGTAAACACGACCTCCCCCTAACCGCTTTGTTACAAGAATTACTTCTAGAACATTCAGCCCCATGATGATCATTCAGGCGGAAAAGACATGCAACAGACACAACACAAGGAGCTATTCATCTGCTGATGTTCCAGGCGGAGCAAGAACTGCTTATGAAGATACAGAGACAACAGACATAGAAGCTAAGGGGGAAAAAGATAAATAATAAAAAGGAAAGAAGTTAATGCTAAACACACACACTCACACACACAAGTACACATTACACCACCCACACAGCAAATGTCTGTACAGCTAGTTTGGGTTAACCCAGTTGAGAGTCTAGTCATTAATACACATCATCTATCTACATGTGTATGGGAGTTTCACTATTGATGCTGTAACGAGGTCAAATAAGGCCTTTTCATACTCTCCACATTAAATGTCCACAAATTTTCTTCCTCATACCAAGTTGATTTACTTACACATTTTCATTGTTTTGTTAATAGTGACATGGCCCTGAGAAGCTTCTGAACTAGATCTGTTGTCTATTAGCTTGTAAATATACATTTTCCTTTGTGGGAAAACATAATTCCAGAAAGGCTACTTTTAAAGGCCATAATGTATGGTGTTCTAATTACACTTCTTTTTTTCAAGTCTCAATTACGGTTTTGTTTTATTCTAGTGGTCCACACAAGCGTAACTAACCCTGAATTCTTATCCATGCAGTTGACTAATATGCAGTCAGATATTTTTGGGCTTTTGCATGCGTGTTATCAAGATGGATAGATGATTGGGACAATATTTAGTGTGGGAAGTATGAATGAGCCTCAAGATGACAATCTGCAAATAGAAAAAGAAGTGAGAGAAATGTGTTGTTGTCTTAAGAGACGTAATACTCAAACTTTCCAGACAGACATTTAGCCCACTTTTTCCTTTTTAAATTAAACCCAAAACAACTAACCAATTTGCCACATCCAACTTATTCCCACTGTTGTAACGCAGTGTAACAGGTTAGCTAGCTGTGCATTACATCTGCATTCAATTTTTCCAAAAATGTTAGCGTCCCCCATTAGTTACATTTAATTTGTTTTTGTCTATATAACTTTGTACCTCTCCATTAGAGTATATGATGTTCAGGTTCGATGTTCTTTATACAAATTCTTAAATTATTTGCAAAAGCGGATTTCATGTACGCATTTTAATAATACACTTTTACATTTATTACAATTCAAAGTTCTAATGTGTATAATTACCAATCCTAAAACTACAATATGATGTACTTGAGAAATTTTGCATTATTAAAATAACATGGAAAGTCAATGAAAGGCGCAAAGGTCATTGTTGTAGTTACAGGTGACTGTGAGCTGTAAAATTGTTTCACGCCATTCCATCCCATCTAAGAGTGCTCTTGTGTGTGTTGTGTGTGTGTGTGTGTGTGTGTGTGTGTGTGTATTATCCAACTTAATCTGCTACCTTTTCTCCCCCTTCAAAACATTGTGTTTTCTGTTCTCTTAGCACAGAATTGAAGTGACTTCGGTGTCTGCTATTAGGTGCTCCCTCCACCCTCCATCGCACTCAGCTCAATTTCTTCTCACTCTACGTTGAAGAAATGACCAACACAATCTTTCACTATTCTTTTCTGACACTCAGAACCGTTCGAGTCCTTTGTTTGCCTCAACCAATGTGACGGGGGAGGCTGCAGAGAGTTAGGTGCAGGTTTACAGGATGTCATAGTGGAATGATGGGGAGTGTGGTAATGGCCAAGATGGAGGTAGGGGGTACACAAAAGAAGAAAAAGTAGATGTCAGTGTGGAGATGGTGGGGTTGGTAGAGCAGGGTCCTTTAACAGCAGCCGCCTCCGGACTGCCTCACAGGAGTGCTCTCAATTTTTAAATTGGGTTTGTCGCTGCCTGCAGTTGCGCCAGGGCCCATACGTTTCTTGATCTCAGCAGCCATGGTCATAAAAGCCTGCTCCACATTGGTGGCGTTCTTTGCACTCGTCTCCAGGAAGGGGATGGCCAAAGAGTCAGCTAACTCCTGCCAGACGAAACCAGAGAGAGAGGTTTAAGCCACATCACAGACTTTGCCCAAGTCTTACGCACTGTGTTATGGAATATATATATATATGGGACTTAAAATTTACATTTATATATATATATACTGTATATATATATATATATATA